CTGAAAGACATACACTGTCGACGCTTTACGTTGAAAAGTATCCAGGACTCGGAGCCGGGGTCGAGGACTTCCTGAACGAATTTGAGAGCGCGGTGCGCATGGAAAGGCTGCTAAATAAGTCACAGTGGTCAAGCGAGCTAAGGGCTTCTGTGCTGGGCACTTTCTTGGAAGATCAAGCTGTTCGTGCATATCATGAGTTTGCAGGCACCAGTGATGTCAGCGACGAGGTGCTGACCGCACACCTTATGAAGGAATTTGGTTGTCGTCTAAGCCAGTACGAGCTAGGAAAACGACTGGATACCACCAAGCGCGCAGGTGATACTTGGAAAGAATATGTCAGCTATTTAAAGTTTCATCGAGCGGCTCATGGAAGGTGACCGCTCACAATTACTGCTACAAACAGTATGCAACAACGCTTGTCCCGACCTAAAATCGACTTTACTAAGCAAGGGTGATGAGACGAACACCAACTTACAATGAAGAGCTCAACCAAAGTCGGTGACTTTCTGATTCGTCTCAAGGGGCGACGGTCGTCGTGTCGGTCACAGCAAAGCAGGGAGGCAAGAACAACCCTCCCCGTCCAGCCAGCAACACCAAGGAGCGCCTGCTGGAAACAGTCAGAAGAAACAGGGAGGGCAGCAGCAGCAACGCGGCCATAGTCAGCAGCAGCAACGTGGACACAACCAGCAGAGTAAGCAAAAACAGCGCAGCAAACAGCAGTCCCAGAGCCCGAGGCAGACGGATAGCGGTCACGCTAATACGAGCACAAGAACGTTTCGCTGCTGGAACTGTGACGAACCTGGCCACAGAGAAGCCGACTGCCCGAACCCGAAAAAGCAACAGCACGGATCGGCGCACCAGGCGAGGCCGCAAAGCAGCCAGAGTGACGATGATGAAGACGGGTCTGCTGACCTGTGGATGGCCACGTCAGTAACCAACGGGCATGCAACACAAGTGACGAGCTGGCTGGTTGACTCTGGTGCGTCTCATCACATGTGCTCAAGTGCGGATATGCTGTTTGGGATTTCACCTTCCGACTTAGTTATAACTGTAGCAAATGGTGGTCTACTACAAGTCTGTTGGCTGTCGCTCGGGTGTGTCACGTGCTGCTGTGGCGTCTTTTGGAGTTTGTTCCTCGAGTTTATTGCAAGTTTCCACCAAGTATTTGCCAAGTATCGGGGAGCGCAATGGAGTGGCGGATGGCGAATGCAAGCTCAGTGCAAATGGTGCTGGAGGTGTAGAGGAATTGCTGCGAGGGGCTGCACATGGTGACGGTGCTGAGATCTTCCGAAGGGTTGCCGTTCGACTGCGTTTGGTCTCATTTTTGAGTGCTGGATGCAGTCACGAC